TATCTATCTATCTATCTATCTATCTATCTATCTATCTATCTATCTATCTATCTATCTACCTACCTACCTATGAAACTCTTAGGTATGGGAGTTACATGCTCCCAGGTATATATGTATACACATACATATGTGTAAATACATTCATGTATATGTATATATGCATTGTTGTATGTCAGTTGCTTAGTTGTATCCAACTCTTTGTGACCCCTTGGATCATATTGTCTATGGGATTTTCTTGGCAAAGATACTGGAGTGGTTTACCATTTCCTTCTCCAGTGGCTTAAGGTAAATGGAGGCTAAATGACTTGTCTAGGGCCATATAACTAGTAAGTGTCTGAGACCAGATTTGAATTCAGGTCTTCCTGACTCTTGGCCCAGCGTTCTATCCACTGAGCCACATAGCTGCCTCTTGGGCAAACAGAGGTTTAATGATTTGCCCAAGGTCACATAGCTAGTAAATGTCTAATGTCCTTGAGCTCAAGGACATGGTTCCTGAACCCCAACCTTCTGTGTAAAGGAAGGGGAATTCTAAATACCCTAGTCATTGCAATCTGGGAATCTAGCCTTCTACCCAAAGATGGGCAATTTCCTGGGATGCCCAGCTTTGAGAGTTGCCTCCTGGATAACCCTAAGTTTGAGAGTTTAAGAATGGAATTCAGGAGAGAGACAAAGAGAGAAAGAGACAGAGACAGATATATAGAGAGACAAACACAAAGAGACACACAGAGAGAGACAGGGAAAGAGAGATAGAAACAGAGAGAGAGATAAGAGGCAATCAATTTACTTTCAGAGACCATGGGGGATGAGCTGCTCTTCCAAATAGAGGCCCTAATTCTCAATTGTTTTGGAGGCAGTTAGAAGAAATTAAAGAAAATTAGAAAAAGGTTTCCAGTTTCCTCTTAGGAGTGCCAGCCACATGTCTGCTTCCTTGGGAGATGTTTTTAAGATGCCTCTAGATAAAGGTCCATACCCTTTGGTGTGGTATTGGTTTCCCATCAAGTTGATTGGGAAACATCAAATTAATCAAGGGCTAATGGATCAACTCTCTCCTCTACTTTATAACATTACATGGTCATTTTTGTGTTCCAATCAGAATCATGACTTTAGGTCTTCTTGTTCTCTTTCCTGGATGACTTTATATCTCTTTGGTTCATGAGGCATCCTGCTATTTATGCTGCCATTAGACCCACTGGGCCATGTAGTAATTATAAAAAATTAGTAGATTTCATTAGCAATCACTATGTTACTATCAAATTATGAATCAGATATCACTAATAGTTGACTAAAGCATGTTTTTATTTCTGATGGCTGCATTTGTGAAAGGTCAGCTAGCATTTTAGAGGTAAATTAACATTTCTTAAGGGCCAGTATTCTCAGAATTGGAGGGATTTAGAAATCACTTAGTCCCATCTAGTCCAATTATTCAGCATGTCCCAAAAGTGCCTTCTACATAGCTGAGGAAATCTCTAGGCCTGTTTTATAGAAAATAAAAAAAAAATCATGAGTCCATAAATTTATTAGTAGACCTTATCAGTGGTCATTATTAGTAGGACTTTTTAGCCATATTATTTTGAAGAGAATAAGATGTAATAGAAAAAAAATTTCAGTGAGATAGTGGTGCCTTTTATTCTTTTTTGGTTAAAAAATACTTTCCAGTAGACATATTTCTTTTAGGTCCAAGGACCTTTGAATTGGGTTAATCTGTAGAACTATGCTTGGCCAAATGCTTATACTCACATGATCTAGAATCTAGAAAACAAACCACCAGAAAGTAGAATTTGCTATAATATGTATCTTGTATTGAACCTGTATAAGACACTGGAATAGGCCTATACAACATATGGTCCATGGGTCACTTGTGGCCTACCCAAGGATTTCGGGTGGCTTGTCATTGTGCACTTTCTCATATTTGTCATGTGACACAAGGCAACCAACCATCATCAGTCTGCTTCTAATTATCTTTACTTGGAAAGTGAGCTGCTAAAAAAAACTATCTGTGGCCTGAAGAAGTTTAGTCTATTTTAACTTTGTGCCTACTTATTGCTAAGTTGTGCAGGTCTACTTTAGAAGGACCATATTATAATGTATGTTGCCTAGAAAGAAGTTCATTGTATGGACTTTAGATACCAAAATAACTGGAATATATGAAGGACTTAATTGATTTGAGCTTTCAGTTGGCATTTGGTCCTGATCTTTCCTCAGATTGGAAGGTGGGGAGGGGGCCATGTTCATTTTTACCCACACTTGGTTAAACAAAGTTTATGCCCATATGATGTCTGATAATGCATGTAAAAAGCAAAAGAACTAGTTGTTTAGCATGGAAAACAGCAGGTTATACTTATTCACATGGATGACAAGCCTGAAAATGACCTAGACAAGTAGTAGGGCCTGAGATTAATGGACTAGAGAAATAAAGCAAATCTAGAATCTGGGAACCAGACTGCTCAATAAATGAATAGCTAATTTGGTCAGGAGCAAACTGGAAATTCTGGGAGTCAGAAGATTGTCAAAGCAGAAAAAAAAATCATCAAAAAGTCAAGGAAAACTGAGGTCAAGAATCCAGGTTAGTTAATCCAAGACAGGAGCACCAGCCACTGACCTTGCTCCTTGGGTGGGTCCTTGGTGCCTCTTTTATGGTTCTTGCTTGCCATGGGTAGCCCAAGACCATATGAGTATATAGGAGGTGATTACAGAGAATGAAAAGTATGTAAGGAGACCCACATCCCTGAGACATGGTTGGAAGAATTAGGATCATAGGGAGGTTCTTGCAGTATTGTTTTCATAATGATAAAAATCAGAGTATTTGGAAAGAGTGGTACATTTCACCAAGTTTTTTAGCTTTTTCTATGGATATTTGACATTGGGTGGACAATGTCATTCATTCATTCATGCATTCATTCATTTATTATTCTTGAACTTCCTATAGGTTTCCTACATGGTTTCCTATGGGTCCAGGAAAATATAGCTTACATTTCAAATACCATGTCTTCAGAGGCTATCATGTCCTCAGAAACTGGAAATATAGAAAAATTTCTAACTAAAGTCCTTACCTATTTAGTTATGATGAATTGAAGCAAAGTACAGATGTTGAAACCCAATGGAATTTTTGAGCTCCATAAAGCTCGTCCACGTGCTAATGAATGGTTTGGTTCTCCACGTATGTGGTTAGATTCTCAATTACTTTCTTAAATGCTCTCTCAGAAAATTCTGGTAATAAAACAAAATCACTTACTTGATCATTTGAGGAACAGTGACTTTGGAATTTTCTTCAAATGCATTCATCATGAGGCCATTGCATCTAATGTTATCTACACACTAGAAAAGAGAATAAAGTGTCACATACCTAATTAAGTGACCAATTAAGTTCAACAAATACTTATGAGGCATTTATTATGCTCAAGGCACTGTTCTAGGTAATGGGGACAAAAAGAAAAAAAAAGAAGCTCCCTGCCCTCAAGGACCTTACCTTTTACTGAGGGGATACAACATGTACACAAATACAAAGTAAATGCAAAGTAATTTAGGGGGAGAAGGGGAGGATGCAAATAACTGGGGGTGTCAGGAAGACTTTTGTGCAGTAGGTGGCACTATAGGGAGTTTTGAAGGGATGGAGGAATTCTAAGAAGTAGAAGTGAAGAACAGGTACATTACAGGCTCAGGGGACATCTTGGGCATTTTGGGAGATGGAATGCTGTATACAGGGAACAAGCAAATAGTCCAGTAATGACATGAGGGGAATAATGTGAAATCAGTCTGTTGAAGAGATAAGAAGCCAGACTGAAGGGCTTTAAATGCCAAATGGAGGAGTTTGTATTTTATCTTAGAGGTGAAAGGGAGACACTGAAGTATCTTGGGCAGGGGAATGACATGATCAGACATATGCTTTAGGAATATCAATTTGGTAGCTATTTGGATTGGAAAAGGACAGAATAGGATCATGGAAATCAGTCAGAAAGCTTTTGTAATATTCATGCAAGAGGTGATAAGGGTCAAAACTAGGAATATAGCTGTTTGAGTAGAGATAAAGAGACTGATGTGAGATCTATCACGGAGGTAGAATTTACAAGACTTTGCAACTGACTGAATACAGAGGGTGAGTGAGGGTAAAGAGTTGAGAATGACTCCAAATTTACAACCAGGTAATAACTAGAAGGACAGTGATACCCTTGAAAGAAATAGAGAAGTTAGGAAGAGAGGTATGTTTAGGGACAGACATAATGAATTTTCTTTTGGAAAGTTGTTTGAGAAATTACATCATCATTTTCACTGGTCTTTAACTTAAATTTAATATTTCCTTCAATAATGAATTTCTGCAATAATAAGTATGTAGGGACCTGTATGCTTCACTGTACTGCCAAAGGGATCCATGACACAGAAAAGGTTAAGAAACTCCAGATTAGTTGGGGGGAAGTGGTTTGAGGAGAGAAGAAAAGGTTCGGGACATACTGTGGAAAGTATGAAGGGGAATCAATCAGGGACAAGTGAAAGGATTGAAAAGACTAGAAGTATACACATACAGGTTATTATTATTATTGTTGGTGAGGCAATTGGGGTTAAATGACTTGCTCAGAGTGTTATGTGTCTGAGGCTGGATTTGAACTCAGGTCCTACTGATTCCAGAGCCAGTGCTCTATTCACTCTGCCACCTAGCTGCCCCTTTATACAGGATATTTTTTAAACTGTGGAAGAAAGGGCAATGAGAAGAAACATTAGTAATGTTAGAAAGAATTATGAAGATTTTAGGTATTGGAATGGGCAAAGTTAACGTTTGTTCGTATTGGTTACAATTCAATGAATATAGGCAAAATGTAAATCAAACGCGTGGCAAAAAAGTCTATATGAAACATTTGTAAGCCTTATCTGTTGACTTATTTTTATTTTAAACAGTGTTTGAAAATCAAGAGTTGACTACAGGCAGCTAGGTGGAGCAGTGGTTAGAGCATCAGCCCTGAAGTCATGGAGGACCTGAGCTCAAATCCAGCCTCAGACACATAACACTCTGAGCAAGTCACTTAACCCCAATTGCCTCACCAAAAAAAAAGAAAAGAAAAGAGTTGACTACAGAATCAAAGACTTTTCAAATTCTCTACGGTTAAAAAAGACACTATAGCCTCACAAGGTTAAACAAGAAAAGAGTGAGACTAAATAAGTTTCTTTATCTAGCTCCAAAGTTTGAATCAAACAGGGACAAGAATAATCAACATAGAATCAGTGTGGCATAGTGGAAAGAACCCTGAACTGGGAAGCCAGTATCTTAGGATCTCCTCAGCTCTGCATCTGACTCACCTTCTTGCTTTACTTGTTCGTGAGTAACTGAGAAACAGAATTGATTTAGCGAGGTTTTAAGGGCTCAGTGCTAAAATCAGTGGAGCAAAATGGAAATTGTATCTTCCTGTTTCTCTGATACTAACCTCACTTCTTTGGTCCTCAGTTTTCTTGTCCTCTCAGTCCGCTAAGTGACTTCGGGGAACTGAACTGTACTGGAAAGCCTCTTCCACTTCTAACATTCTATGATTCCATCAGTAAGGGAGTCTTTTCAATTAATCAATAAATATTTACTAAGCTCTTACTATATGCCAGACATTGTGTTAAGGGCTAGGGGTGTAAAAAGAGGCAAAAAAACCAGTTCCTGCCCTCAAGTAACTTGCAGTCTAATGGTGAGACAACATACAAATAAATATATACAAAGCAAGCTGTATACAAGATAAACAGGAAATAATTAAAAGAGGGAAAGAACTGGAATCAAGAGGTGGGTAGGGAAGACTTCCTATAGAAGACAGGATTTAGTTGGGACTTAAATGAAGCTAGGGAGGTCAGTAGTTGGAGTGGAGAAGTGATGGGGGATAGTCAGGGAAAATGGCTAGAGCCCAAAATATGGAGCAGCCAGGAGGCCCATGTCATTGGATTGAAGAGTAAGTGTAGGGAAGTAAGGTGTAAAAAGACTGGAAAGGTAGGTGGGGGTTGGTTATGAAGGACTTTGAATGCCAAATCATGCATTTCGTATTTGCTCCTGGGGCAGGAGGAAGCCATTGGATTTTGTTGAGTAGGAGAGTGACATGATCAGACCTATCTTTTAGGAAAATTACTTTAGTGGCTAAATGGAGAATGGATTGGAGTGGGGAGAGACTTGAGGCAGACAGACCCATCAGTAAGCTATTGTAGTAATCAAGGAATGAGTTGTTGAGAGCTGGCACTAGAGTCATAGCAGTATCAGAGGAGAAAATGAGTTGAGGGAGAATGAGTGAAGGTACAGCCAGTACTGGAAAGGGTGGCCAGGGAAGTTGTGTCATTTAGGGAAAGCCAGGTTTCTGTAAGAGCTGATAGATGGAAGGAATGGGACAGGAAAAGTTTAAGATAAAGGGAAGTTTGTTGACTATGGAACAGGCATTCTAGAGGGCACAGTGGATGGCTGGGTGGAGTTAGAATGAAATTTTGCCATGGGAGGACTGGGGGGATTGGAATGAGGAATCAGGTGGAAGGGGGTGTGGAGTGGGGTTTGGATGATGATCTATAGGTGTTTAGAGTAACTGGGATGTGAAGAGTATGACCAGGTGTGAGAATGTTCATCATTGAGTAGGGGATGTCACTCCTACTCCTCTACCCTCAAAGGATAGACCCAGCAGGAGACAGAAGGCTTCAAGTCGAAGGGAGGGTTGTTCTTTGTATTAGAGATTCTCTACATCCAGTTGGGATAATGGACTGGCAGCAGGAAGTAGATGTCTTGTGCTGGTACAGATGGGAGTAGTTACTTTGAGACAGATGGAAGATGCCTGGCCTGGCCTGAAGCTGTCTTTCCTCAGGAAAAATGCTTCAATGAACAAGAGATGGAAAGCTTAGGGTATTAGTGCATCTGAAGTCTTTTCACCTGAGGAGGCTGGCTATGAGGCAGCAGCAGGAAATGGCAAATTCCCAGCATTGATGGAAGTCTCCAGGCCTGGCCCCAGCAGCCTCAAGGGACATAGGCAAGATAACCTTCCTAAACTTTTAAGGGGATTTTTTTTTTTTTTTTGCTGTGGGAATAGTAATTATCAGCCAGTAATAGTTAATATTTCTCCCAGGGTACCCAACTTGCTACTTGGCCATCATTTATTCACTGGTAGGGTCTGGTATATTTATTTCAATCTTCCATCAGGGAAAGATA